GTTGCTCATTATCATTTGTTAGGTTTTGTTGTTGTAATATGATTGCACGGACTGTTTTCTCCTTCGTTTTGTCTTCTTCCCAATTCCAAGAAGCGTTCTCATCAAATACAACATCCCGACTAATGATCACCTTGTTTGTCTTCAAGTTGTAAAGTCTATAGCCCTTTGACATGGAACTATAGCCAATAAAGACACATCTTTCACTTGTTTCTTCTAGCTTTGTCCTCTTTTGTTTAGGAATTTGAGCATAGAAAACACACCCAAAAATTTTAAGATGGTTCACCGACGGTGTTCTTCCACTCCAGGCTTCAAATGGAGTCTTTTTCCACACGGCCTTTGTTGGACACCTGTTCATCAAATACACAGCAGTGTTAACGGCCTCGGGCCAAAAGGTTTTAGGCAAACCTTTCTCAAGTAGCATAGACTTCGCCATCTCCATCACGGTTTGGTTTTTTCTTTCAGATACACCATTTTGTTGAGGTGTATAACCAACAGTGAGCTGTCTTTCAACACCTTTATCTTCACAAAATTTATGAAATTCATTTGAGGTGTACTCCTTCCCTCGATCACTTCTCAGCATCTTTATAAATCTGCCACTTTGTTTTTCGATTAATGCTTTAAATTTCTTAAAGATTACAAACGCTTCAGATTTTTGTCTCATGAAATATATCCAAGTCATGCGGGTAAAGTCGTCAATAAATAAGATAAAGTACCTATTTTTGCCATGAGACAAAGTATTCTGTGTGTACAAGTTCCAACACTTGTTTAGCTCTCCATGCACCTTCCTTTGGAAATGGTTGTCGGTGGTGTTTGCCAAGCACACAACCTTCGCACACACCAAATTTTTCTTCGATTCTTGGCAGCCCATACACCATCTTCTTTTGATAGAGTAACTTGAGGCTTTCGTAATTCAAATGCCCAAGTCTCTTGTGCCATAAACACGAGTCATTCTCTTCTCTGGCCATCATGCTTACATTTTATCATAGTTAAAAGATAGTGGAAAGCTTCTGTTGCTAGTCATCTTCACAACGACAACACTTCTTCTTTGAGTCAAAAATTCTGCACTCGTTATTCTCAAAGTTTAGAGAATAGTCGTGCTCCAGAAGTTGTCCAATGCTAAGCAAATTTTCGTCTAATTCCGGTACATAGAGCGTGTCATGTATGACTTTGCTTCCTTGCTTTGTGGTGACTTCAATGCTTCCTTTTCCTTTCACTACGACATGTTCTCCATTGTCCAATTTAACTTTTGAGCCAAATGAAGAATCAATGTTTATAAATGCTTCCTTCTGTCCGGTCATATGGTTGCTACAGCCGCTGTCCAAATACCATACATTTTTACCTTCTTCATGCAATGCTTTTTGACAAGCAAAAAATAAATTTCCTTCATCAGATTCTCCTTCTGCGTACGAAGCATGTTGTTGATTTGGAAGACGACAATCCTTTTGAAGGTGCCCGAATCTCTTGCAATTGTGGCATTGCGGTTTACCTTTGTTCCAACAATCTTTCTCATCATGAGTACCGCTGTTACAAATTTTGCACCATTTGTTTGATGCCCCATTCCATCTTCCTCCATTTGCGCTTCTTCCAGATCTGCCACGTGAGTTTCGACCTCTGCCTCTTCCAAATCTGCCACCTCTAGAAGACTCACCTCTAGTTTGTATTTGGGACTTATTTTCACCATTGTTGGGCTGAATGTTGAGTTTAGATTGAAAGACACTCTCGATTGATTTTTCAGAATGTCGTAACATCCTTTGCTCGTAGGATCTCAAAGACCCCATCAACCCTAGAACAGTCAAGGTTGATAGATCCTTGGTTTCTTCTATTACCCCCACCATTGGGTCAAATCTTGCTGTCAAACTGATCAGAATTTTGTCAACAATTATGCGATCTTTTATCGTATCACCATGTGACTTCATCTGATTCACCAACTCGGAGAGTCTGTTGAAGTATTCGTTCAAGCTCTCGTTCTCCTTCATCCTTTCATTTTCATAATCTCTCTTAAGAGATTGAAGCTTCACCGTTCGCACCTTTGAGTCTCCTTCGAACTCTTGTTGTAGGATACCCCAGGCACCGTTCACATCTGAATGAAGAAGAATGTCCAGAGAATAGTTAAATGCCGGCGAATAGCGTAGGAAGTAACCAAGTTTGAATGGTGGAAAGCCAGCAAGGGAAAAAGCATTAGTTTCAGCGAAGCTATTCTTTACCCCTTAAGCGTCAGAGAAAAGTACTTTCAGGCAAGGTCGGCTAGCGAACCCCGCTACTCCTTTGTCTTTTAGGAAGGGAAGTCTGAGTCAAAGTCATTGTGAATCCTCAGTTTGAAGGCGATTCACCTTCACCCAGCATCTTTTAAAGTTTTAGTCTGATTATTTCTCATCTGCCTGCGACTCTGGCCGGCCCATCTTCCTCCATGTCCTCATCCGAGGTTCAAGCAATTGGTCATCATTCCTGGCCTGGCCGGCTGGCCGAGGTCGAGTTCCTCCCTTATTTATAATCTATACGGCTTTCTTCGTCTCTATTATTTGATTTATCAATAGCCAAAAACTTGACTTTCAGGTCTGCGAGAGGTCAATGTACTAGAGCTCATGCCCAAATAGGGGCTTTCTTTTCTCTTACATGCGACTTCCCTTCCTCCCTCATTCATGAAAATCAAAGGAAGCTTCATCGGGAAGGGATAGGGATGGCGCATTGGCTTGGTTGGCGGCTTGGCTTCGCTATCGCTCATGACTTGGTATAGAGTCCGTGTAGTCAGTGAGTACGAGTACAGCCTATGAAACAGGCTTTGAGTTCCATTACATTGCCAAAATGAATTCCCGCCACTCTCCCTTCCAGTGAACCCCACGTGTCTGCCTCCGGCTTCGAAGCAGTGGGGAAGAAAAGGACTCGGCTTAACTTCACTTGGGTTCGGTTTACCTTGTTACTATTGGAATGATGGAAGTAGCTCTTCTTCCTCTTTGCGTTAGCGACTCTGAGCTCATAGGGAGCTGGGAATTAGCTTGGTTAGCTGGAGAAGGAATAGAGTTGAAAGATCGGATTTTTTTAGCGCGCCTTATGCCTGTCCTTTCCTGACTCTGTCGATGGTATGCCTGAGATGGCAGTCTTTCTCCTTGGCTTGTACTCGAGATTCCCTTTTTGTTCGAAATCGATATCTTCGCCTTTGAGAAAGGGAACGAAGGAATTCCGTCTGTTGTCACAAGAATTGTTCAAGTTGAATGCGAATAATCGATTGAATCCGATCTTTGAAGACTTGAAGGACTAGTGTCCAATCCCGGCCGATGTAGAGTAGTCCCTTTTGGGCAGCACTTCCTCGTAGGGAACTACCTATTGTCCTTCTTTCTTGTGGTGGAACCTGGGATTAACCCTCCCAGAAGTTATTATCGCCAAAACAAAAAAAGACATCTTGAATTTCCCACAAGAGTAAAACTATAATAGTATCCGACTCATATGGCGGCGGGGGCTGCGTTCCCCTCTCTTTCTGCTGGATGGGGAGTGCATCGGTCGGCTATGTCCCTGGACCTCCTGGCTTCCCTGTCACGTCCGAACGTAATCAGAGAAGACCTGCCCAAGCACCGCACCACCTTGTGATCATAAAGAAGAATATCCAATACAATCACAGGAAAGAGTACCCGAAAAAAACCGTAACGTATCAGGGTCGTACGCCTGGAACAGTCGTACAATTTCGGCGATTCAAAAAGGAGTATATCCCTCTCCCTTAGTGTCTTTCCACTTCCCTCGTTCAGGAACAAACCCTTCGCCTAATTCTTTTGAGTCCCGACCTGGTTTTTCCCCACTAACCAATTACGTTACGACCACTGAAGAAACTTGGTTGACGAACATGGTTTATGCGCCGCTAATGTAGCGGCTTGTCGAGCATTTGACAAACTCACACCATCCATCTCAAATAGGACTTGTCCCGCGGTCACACGAGCAATCCAACCCGTAGGATTTCCTTTTCCTCTTCCCATTCTTACTTCTGTAGGTTTCCCGGTAATAGGGATATCTGCGAAAACTCTTACCCATATCTTACCATTTTTTCGGAATTGTCCGCTCAGCTCTCATAATCCCTGGGAAGATGGATAGAGAGACCCCTCTTTGAATCATCCCGAGAACTCTAGCATCTGTGATCTTCTTCTTCTTCAATTCTTCAAGCCGTTGGCTTGATTCTTCAGCCTTTTCTTTTGATTTTTCAGCCTCTGTTGGCGCCGGTTCTTCATAGCCGTTTTTGACATACTCTAGAACATCCAAAGATGTGAATAGAGTCTCCATTTTAACAGTCCAAAAATCATAGTTCTCTCCTTCAAATAGAGGAACTTTGACATTGCTGTAAGTTACAGAAGGGTTGTTTGTGGAAGCCATAACTGTTGTTATTTTTGCTGCAGTTGCAAGGATCTGCAGCTCTGATACCACTCTGTTGGCGGTATTCTAGAGGTGGTATGTGAAAAATTATAGTGTTGCAGGATTCTGCAGAGAAAACTAATTTTCGTCACTTTTTGTACTATACTTTTACTGGTGGATGACCATTGAAAAACTCTGTCTTTTTTTTTTTTAATTCACCAAACACTTCTCTTACTTTTAATCTTAGCATTACAAAGCCTTTATATAGGCTTGAATGAAACTGATAGAGAATACAAATAGGTTGCTAATCAAGATGAGGACTCTTTGGTTCTCTCAATTTTAATGATACAACTCTACCATAAATCTAAATAAAGACAATCATTATAATGTGATGGTTACAATTCTCTCATAATGCTTTCTAAAGATAGTGGTGGTTACAACACATTAATTTTAACAGATTCATACTAGATATCGAAGTTGCAAGTGATACCACAACTCTAAGCTTCTCTATATTGCATTAATTTTTTGTGTTGATGCTCTCTTTATAATCACTACAGTTCATAAATCATCACTTTCATTAGAGTACATTTTCTTTAAGTGTATTTTTAGCGCATCAACATATATGTTCATGCTCACTGAAACAACAACTTGAAAATCTAACTACTGAATCATGTACGACATGCCTTCGCGACTGAAACTGGCGGATCAGATAGATATCCATACAGAATTTGTTTAGCAATCCATTGATTTGCTGCTTGGGAGTAATGTATACCGTCCCAACTAATATGTTGCCAAGGATTATTACATGGATTTCCATAAACTGTTCCATTTATTATCGCCTTCTTCCCACAATTTATATGGTAACCGTAGTAGCTTCCACAGCAAAACTCCATAGGATTCACAAAACCTGCCGCAAATCGAACATTCAAGTTAAAATTTAGAGTGATTTGTTATGCAATAACAAAGATCGCGACGCAAACATAAAAGCTAGTCAATGATGTATGCTTTTGGTGATTTGAACATTACCTAGGCTTTTTGCATTGCTGATAAGTTTATATTTGGCTGCGTAAACATCAACATATGTAAACTTGGCTAATGGAAACTTTCTCCTTAGCTGAAACACTTGGTCTTTTAGCTTCCTGTTATATTCCTGAGCAATCTCATTGTGAGGTTTAACACAGCCATTTGCATCCAAGTTACCATTCTTGTGTTGATAATAGATTATATCATAGGGCAAGCATCCAATTGGACCTGTATTGTGAATCCAAAACACCCTTGCACCTTCATTGTATAGATCCTAAAACATAGTAATGGCAATGTAAGTATAATAATAAACCGAAGATCGAACAAGTGAGATCGCAAAGTAATCGAAATCATACAAAACAGAAAACTAGCTGGTTTTCGGTAGTCCGTTTTTTAAAACATGTTTTTTTACCTGCACTGCTTGGGCGAACTGACTCAAGATATCAGGAATTGAGCTTTTAACCTGTTCCTCAGAAGTGTGCTGCAAACCGATGGCAATATCATTTTGTCCAATATCAAAGGTGTAAAGAGCCTTAGAGAAATCCTCATTCCTCGGAAGACCGCTTCTAAAAGGCGGTTCTGTCCCTATAAATAACATCACATATGTTCAATTTTCACTCGTAAGTTTTGCAACATCAACACTTCAGAATGAAAGTATGTTTAGTGTCCAACACACAAAAAAATAGGTATAATAAACAAGAAAGGGAATGCTAAGTGATGAGAAATTAACTGTTGTTAGAGAGTTGATTGAAGAGAATGTTGGAGTGTGATTTGAACAAAACAAACTCAGATACTTGAACACCAAGGTTGATTGGACTATAACCGCCAGGACGAATAGACGCGCCTCCTACTGCAAAGTTTGCACCATGTCTGTAATTTGATCCAACTGAGTTCAAATATGCACTTAGATATGGTAGCTTCAACTCTTCACCTGCAAAGATCCAACATTCTCTAACATTCTCACAAGTGCTTAAATCAGTAAATAAGTTAAAATATGTTAATCTGAATCTATGATGATAATGCTTCAACTTACTGATAAAATCGATGATGAGACGACCATCGGAAGCTCTTCCCGAAAGGCTTCCGAAAAAGCTTATGCCGTTAGGAGGTTTCACACCTGTGAATACAGCATATCCAGCTCCAGTATCAGAATTTGAGTCACCAAAATTGTAAATTGCAGGATACACACATTTCTTTGAATCATAGACATTCTTTTCAGTTGAAACTTGAATGAATGTAGATGCTACATACAGATTGAAACACCAAAGTAAATGAATTAATCTCCTAGAATTCATTGTTGAGGAGATTGCAGATTTCACTCACTCACTAGTAGTATGGATCATGGTTTCAGTGAGGTTTGTACTTTATTTTTTCTATGTATACACCGACAAGTTTTGTTGTATATAGTTATTTACAATTACACAGTTGTCTTCTTGCATAAGTTTGCCTCAAATTAATTAAACATTGATCATAATTACAAAACCACGCGCTTAGATATTTATCATTTTTAATCAATGCCATATTTTATTTATTAAAAAAAAGACAAACAAAACTTTTATTGATCATGTGAAACTCGTAATCACATAGCAAGAATTTCGAGAACTATGACTTTGTGCCATCATTTATTCGATGGATTCAAAATAATTGTAGTCGTTGGATCGAGATCAAACATCTATAATTTAAATTTGATATATTTTATTTATTTTAACAACCACGATAATATGATAATCTTAAATGCGTGAATGTGACTGATGTAGTCTGAGTTCGACATTCGAGTTGAAAACTATTTGTTTCGGACCAAGAGGTGAATTTGGTAGTACTAATAATATAGATGGAGCCATTGTACATTTCTAAGTTCTAACAAAATCATTTCCCATAGAAAGAAAACAATCACATGTTTTGGACCACTATGACAAAGTAACTTGTCCCTATCTTAAGCTCTTGGCAAAAGGACAATAACAACTCACGAGGGGGCCTTCACATCATAAGTACTTGATGTGAAAATAATAACTATAGCAACTACACATTTTATAACTGAAAATCAAAAACTGATATTATAACCACTTTTGATTTGTTATGCATGTGCATATAATATCGAGTATTATTGATACATAGGTTTAAACAATCGAGTACCGATACATAAAAATATATATCTTGATATTCCATCACAATCTGAACTGATATAGCTGTTAGAAGAGAGAGTGGCCGAAAATACCTATATACTAACTATAAGGGAGAGGAAAGACATTATAGCCAATGACTATTTCCTTCTCTTTGGTATTTATTTTGCTGAATTTCAATCAAGGTTACCTATTCACATATATAATAGTAGAAATTGATGCCTTATTGATACATAGGTTGCCTGTGTAATTGCCTAGAACTCCATGTACTGTTCAAAGATGAACTTGGAAAAATGATTGTTGGAAGCCTCTCACTTTCCTCAAGATGAGGAAAATCAATGGTGTAATGCAATCCGCGGCTCTCGTGCCTTGAAAGGGCACTGCTAACCACCAACTTAGCACAACAAAAGAGGTTTCTCATTTCGCAAATCTCAGGGAACACCATTGTTGGTTTCCATCCATGCCTAAATAAGTACTCTTCCCATTTCGCCTCAAGACTACCGATTTTTCTCTCCGCTGTCTCTAACCACATTGTTGACCTCACAATTCCTACATAGTAAAACATGATAGATTGTAGTTCTTTCCTCAATTCACCGGTCGCAGATAAAATTTTGTCTTTCGCGTTTCTTTCAAGTGAAAACGGCACAATAGGTCTTCGCCATAAATTTGATGCGGTCAGGTCGAGGCTAGAGCTTTTCATTTGATTGACAGACGGCTGAACAGCTCTTTGTGCGAAAACGAGTGCCTCAAGCAATGAGTTGCTAGCAAGTCTATTTGCTCCATGTAAACCTGTGCACGCTACCTCACCAGCTACATACAGACCTTTCACGTTCGTCTCTCCTTGGAGCCCGGCATGAACTCCTCCACACATGTAATGAGCAGCTGGAACAACAGGGATCGGATGACGTGTTATGTCCAAACCATATTGAAGACACGTTGAAGCAATGTTGGGAAAGTGTGAGAGAATTTGGTTCTTCGGCTTGTGGCTAATGTCAAGGAGCACGTACTTTTCGTCACGCTTTTTAAGTTGGTCGTCTATACTTCTTGCGACTACATCTCTTGGGGCAAGCTCCGCCCTTTCATCATAGAGAGGCATAAACCTTTCCATGGCTAAATTATAAAGGATGCCACCATCACCCCTTACAGCTTCAGATATCAGAAATGCGTTATCCCTAGGCTTGGTTGGTTGTATAGGAAGCCCTTCATCGGCTAAGGCGGTCGGATGGAACTGTACAAACCTGCATCAATCATGATTTTTTAACTTCCTTTTATCTTGTCATAACAAAATTCAATAAGCTTTTAATCCAAATAAGGTGTCTAGAACTGGTACGAGAGATTCATTGAACAGTAAAAGTTAGCAGATATGAAACAATCAACTTACTCCATGTTGGAAATCACAGCTTGAGCTCGGTGTGCCATTGCAATTCCATCTCCGGTGGCAACCTGTGATAGTAAAACACAAGTCAAATTATCATTCAAATAAAACATGCAATACATTGCAATCAATACAGCATATACAAATCAACATTGTGTAAAATAGGAAAAGGAGAATTCAAACTCTAGAAAAGATAACTACCAATGGATTTGTGGTTTTAGGATAAATATGCCCAGCTCCCCCTGACGCTAGTAAAGTCGCCTTTGAAAGAAATCTTACCACCTAAAAAAGCTAAAAAAGATTAAAGATTAGAAAATATATTCAATGATGGCAGAGATTTTGGTCTCAAACAATTACACATAATTGCTTTTCCCACCTCTAAGGTTTTGGTATTCAGTGTATCAACACCAAGACAAGTTATATCAGATCCATTCTGTAACAACAGGGGCACTTCTCAGTTAGTGAATGCATCAAAACATTCAAAATGTTCTCCAAATTTTAAAATTCAAAATATTTCTTCGGAATACCGAAAGAAGAGAGGGAAAAAAAAAAGAGAGACCAAACCTGACAAGTGAGAAGATCTATAGCAAAATGGTGTTCAAACACAAAAATATTAGGATTGCTGGTAACTTCCTTCAAGAGTGCGCGTTCAATCTCTTTACCAGTCATATCAGCAGCATGGACAATTCTATTATGTGAATGACCACCCTCCCTCATTAGATGCAAGTTACCGTCTTCCCCATGATCAAACGATGCGCCCATAGCAATTAGTTCCCTAACTCTGTCTGGTCCTTCAGTACAGACAACCTGGAAAAAACGAGTTAGAAGGTAATGTAATGCTCAATGCAGTAGTAATAGAAACTACCGTTGTTGTAATGCTCAATGCAGTAGTAATGATAAGCGTTTGTGCTATAAGTGCTTAATTAATATTTTTATTCAAACAGAGCTTAATAGGTCTAGAACATACTCGAACACTCTCCTTGTCACAAAGATAAGCACCAGCTACAATGGTGTCCTTCATGTGACTCTCCACAGAATCTGATGGGCATAGCACAGAACTTACACCACCTTGAGCATAATTTGTGTTGCATTCATGAGGCTCGGCCTTTGTTATGACTGCAACAGTTCCATGTTTTGCAACTTCGAGCGCATATCTCAGGCCAGCAATTCCGCTCCCAATGACGGAAAAGTCAAAGTATTTTGTATGATTGTCTTTTTTGCACGAGGAAATGACTTTGAAGAGCTTCTGATTTTTACAAAGCGTAGGTTCAGAAAACGCACATCTGTGTATCTGCAGTACCTTGGAATTGGATACCCCTTTAGACCTAAAAATATACACCCCAAGACAATTGGAAATCATTAGTTTCGCCGTGCCTTGAGGATGCTCCGCGTAAATGTTTTAACGGCAAACTAACAATGGAATGACTCTTGAGAAACAGATAGTGAGATATAACATAAGATAACTATACTAAAATATTCCGGCATCAATATCTACCATGAAAGATCTTTTTGTAAGTATCTCTTGATTTTGATAGGCATATCAGAAACCCATGCAGTTCTTCTACAGCTTCGTCCCTTGTAGTCTGCCACTCGGTAATGCAATGTGCCCCTTCCAGCAGCAGGTACACAAGTTGCCATTGCAATGTTTCTGCACAAAAAGCAGAAAGGGACTAAATTTAAGTATGCATTTGCATTCTAAATCTCTCGTCACAAACAAATTTTCATTCTCGTAATAGCTAACAACAAACACCAAGAACCATGCAGAACCAAACTCTCGATTAACAAACGACCATTCAAAGTTCGTAAGAAATGAATTTAGCTCATCTCAAGTAGGGGTGGACAACGGTCGGTGCCGGACGGTTTCGGACCAAAAGTTGTCCACCCAATCCCGTCCGTTTAAAGTTTCGGTTTCATCGGATGCGGTTCTCTCGGTTACCGGGTTGAGTCGTTGGGTTCATCCGGGTGAAAATCACAAACACAGAACAAAGAAATTCAATTTTATAACAAAAAAACAAGAAACAAGAAATTAATTTAAAGAGCAAACAAGACATTACCTACTAAAACTTTATGATACTTTTGGAAACTTTGATTAAATACAGCTTTTGTTCTTTGTTGAAACTAGATCTAGAATATAGATACCAAACCAGTATAACACGTTTTTGTTGGAAAATCTGTTGCCATGAACAAATATGGAGTCCAAACTGTGGCTGTAGAGATGATCATGAAATATTAGAATTTAAAGAAGGAGAAAACTTTCATAAAGTCATAAAGTTATTGAATATGAAAAAATATTGTATAGTTATTAGAAACATTTTGGCATTTTGACTAGACAGAATACATATACAAAAAAAACAAGTTTTTAAGGAAAATATTAAAGGAGATAAAAGGGTTAGATAGAGTTGAATTTTGAACCAACAAAACACAACAAATAGTAGACACTTGCTACCAACAAAACACGCAAAAAAACAAAAAATTTGGATAAAAAATAATTGACGTAATTAGAATTGTTTGTTTTCCTTCAAAAAAGACAACTACAAAACAAACAACGTTAATTAAATATTAAAATAAGAACCACAAACACACGTGCTTCTACTATTCTTTCAATGAAAAACATGAAATTGAAGTTAGAACAAATGGAGAACCTAGAAGAAGCTCTGAAAGCACAAAAGAAAAAGTGGTGTACCTGATTTTATTGGTGTATGATGATGAGTGAGGAGACAGAAACTCAAGGACCAAAAAAGTGTGAGGAAAAAGTACTTTAGCGTTGCTTCACATAAAATGAATCTCAACTAACCGAAAGTATGCTTAGTGGAAGAATATTTAGTGGGAACATTACCACGAAAAAATAATACGTAACATAACCATACAAATATAAGCATTAACACTTTACTCCTAACGAGTTTTGATTTTTTTTTTTTTTTTTAATTATTTTTGTCCCTAATCAAATATAGATTCTAAAACAAAAAATCTTATATTCAAGATTCTCTTTGAGTGGTAGACGTAGTTTGTGACTGTTTGTTGACTGAGTAATTATGTCACCTTGGATTGTTTATGGTCATTACTTATAACATCTTTCGTATATTGATTCACCCCTTGAAAAGTTAGGGTTCACTATCAGACAAAGTTAGCAAGCTGATAATGGGAAAGAAACATACAGCATAGAAGAAGAAGCACCTGAAAGATTCGAAGCATTCAAAGTAATTGAAGAAGCACGACGAAAAAGGCGCTTCTGTTGATGCTGAAAAGGTAAGTTTTTTAGCTGCTTGTTTGTTTACTCATACATACAGTTAAATGTTAGTTTTTTAATGTTTTTTCAAATGATTTCAGAATAATCAATTGTTCAATGTTGTATTCTACCATGGAGGTGAATTTGTAATGTTGAATAATGGGATTACGATTTACAGAGGGGGGTGTATGTACTTTAGTTTCGGATCTCCACATGGATCAGTTGACAATGCTTAGCATCCATAGGTTGGTTACTGGTCAGTGCATTTTGATGCACATTCTTCCGTGATTGTACTTATGCATTTCCATAGTTTGTTTAGCTTATTTTTGTATTTTATAGTATTTTTCTATTTTAGTTTATTTCTACTCTTATTTGATTTTCGCACTTTATTTTCAATATTAGCAGTCTGCACGAATAAATTTATAACTTAAGTTGCGGGAGTCGGAATGAGGCATGCTACCAGTCGTTAGAAAGTTAAGAGAAAGAGCTACGATTTTCATTCAGAAGTCAAGAGCTAAATCAGACTGTAGCAGGGCCATAAAATTTGTTGAAGTTACAACATTAGAAATATTTCTTGTTTTGGGTTATTTGTAATGGGCCTGGGTTATAATTTTGACTCGGTTGGGTTGTAAATGGGTTGTCTGGTTTTCCCTTAATATCCCAGCAGTCGTGTACTGTTCATCTATCATTATTCACGAAATAATTTGGAGAGCTTGATACGAATTGCTATGGAGAACTAAACTCCACGGATTAATCTGTTGTAACGGTTTCCGCAGATATTTTGAGGTTCTAATATTTTTCAATTAATCTATTTCCTTTCAATTTTGATCTTTGATATGTTGTTTGCTTAATTCAATATTATCCAAGGTTAGATTGATTTATTTCGATGATTGCATGTTCCGATACTTTTATCGCGTTTGCTTAATCCGCATTTGTCATCGTGTTTGCTTAATTCACGGTTACTTTATCTCGTCTGTTTGCTTAATTCGAAATTTAGGAATATTCATCGTATAATATCAATTGTCGCTTGTATGATTGTTATTATAATCGAAAAGGGAATAGAATCCGTTAGGGATTGGGAATTATTTGGATCGATGATAAGTTTGGAAATCAAAATAGTAGATTAATCGTTTCAGCTTATTTTGATAATCACTTTTTATAATCACTTATTTTCTGCCTTTTCTTAATCGAGCACCAAACCAACCAACCCCTCCCCCCCCCCTCATTCAGTTACGTTTTATTAATACAAACAAGAATTCTTGCGATACGATTCGAGTCACATTGTCGTTGTACTGCGTTTTTAAAAATACTTGTTTTGATCCGCGTGCGACAACAGATCAGTTACCAGTTGAGGTTACAAGAAGGGAACATATAGAACATGGACATTAATTCGTAAAATAGATGATAATTATTTTCAAATTAGGAAGGATGATGATTGTTACAATTTTGCTGCATATGCGTGTGCGACCCAATTAGACGAGGAAATATTCGTAGAGCATGATGTTATTGATATTGGAGCCTCAATAAGTAGTCCAAGGTGTGTTAATGAGAATGTTGAGATGGAAGGATGTGATGATGATTTAGTAGAATGTTTGCGTGATAATGAGGATGAACGGGTCATTACTATTCTAGATGGTTTTGAAGGGATTGATGTAACTAAACCCATTAATGATAGCCCTTCAATTGGTGAGTTTATGACTAGGTCCAAACAGGAAAGTTGTGAGGATGAAGGATATGTGAGTGATGAGCTGGATAGCTTTGACCCGGATTTACCTGATAGTGATAAATGGAAAGTGCCAAAGTTTGAAAAGTTTAGGGAAGAGTATTTTAATAAGAATTTTAAATTTCAGTGGGGAATGCAATTCAACTCCCTAGATGATTTTAGATATGCCATCCGTGAGTGGTCAGTATTAAATGGGAGGGAAATTACATTTGTGAAAAATGAAAGTGACAGAGTAAGAGTAGTATGCAGGGCCAATTGTGGGTTTTTAATATTATGCTCCAAAGTGGGCCATGAGCTTACTTATGCTATAAAAACCATAGTTGATAAACACACATGTGCTAGTGTTTTAGACAACAAATTTGCAAGTTCAAGGTGGGTGGCTAAGGCTGTGTTGAAGAAAATGCAAACTTCTGATAATATCAGGATCTGTGATATAATTCAAGACTTAAGACAATGTTATTCTGTGGGAATCACAATGGCTAGGGCATGGAAGGATAAACTCATAGCCAAGGAGATGCTTGAAGAAGATGCACACAAATAGTATACAAATTTAAGGAGATATGTTGCAGAATTACATAGATTGAATCCTAGGAACACTTTGATTATCACTGTAGAAAGACCAAGTCCATCTATTTAGCCAAGGTTTGGTTACTTTTATTTTTGCTTTAATGGTTGTAAAAAGGGTTTCATTAATGGTTGTAGACCCTTTATTGGAGTTGATGGATGTCATCTAAAAACAAAGTATGGGGGTCAGTTATTAATTGTTGTGGGTAGGTGTAATACAGTGGGATAATTGATTTGGGTGTTTTGTGTTTGATTGCAAATCTTGCGGATAGCAAGAGTCACCACTGACTTTTCTTTTATCTAATAAAGGAAAGGGTGAAAAGAACAGGAAATAACTTTTGAGAATTTTCTTGAGTTCGGGGGGTAGGTTATGAAAAGGAAATGTGTTAGCACCATTTTCATCAGTAGTTATCTACGGGCTCTTAATTGCTTAATCACTTTTTGAAATGATTTGTGTATGTTTGAAAATGTTTGAAGGTATTTTTAAAATGGTAATTTTCTAATGATTTTTGTATCGTTGAGAATGTATACAAAATGTTTGTTTTAGAAATATTTTGAAAACGCCTTAGTGCGGCAATTTTACAATGACTCTCGTATCGTTGAGAATGTATACAAAATGCTTTGTTTTGAAAATATTTGTTAAAATGGAGTGTTTGGAAAGATGTTTGTTTTTAGAAATTGTTTTGAAAGTGTGAGGTGTAAAGATTGTTTTAGTTTGTGAGCAAGCAATTACGAGCAATTTACCTACTCAAAAAGTCTTTGTTTTTTTCCTCCTCCTTTAGATAGTGATATTTTATCATTGGTTGGTAGAGAGTCATATCATTGGATGTGAGGGACGGGCATGGATCATCATACTGTCATAGAAGGCAACTTGTAAGATGTTTTAGCAATTGTTGTAAGGGACTAAGATCGTTTATTGAAGGCAACATTGAAGGGTCATCGAGGGACTACGATCTTTTAAATCGAGGGTCTTTGATAAAACATCCCACGTTCGAGGGATATGACTATTTTTATCCGAGGCAACAAGTGTGGGTTACTCTAGAGGTACATGTCTGTAAAGTGTGTTTAATTCAATTATTTTATCTTTGAATTAGGATTTTCTAATGTTGGTTTTAGTCTTGTCAT